CTAGGGTCTGGAACCAGCTTCCAAGTGAGGTGGTGCAGGCTCCCACCCTGGGGGTTTTTAAGAGGAGGTTGGATGACCACCTTACTGGGGTCGTTTGACCCCAGTACTCTTTCCTGCCATGGCAGGGGGTCAGACTAGATGATCTGCTCAGGTCCCTTCCGACCCTAGAAACTATGAAACAATTATTAACTATTAACACCTCTGGAATGAAATATGAACCATTCAATTGATTCCCTCAGCTGCCTGAATAGTAATACAATAGCTGCTGCATTTTGGAGCACAAATCAAAGCACAGTGCTTCTATACCGGTCAGAAAATCAACTTCCCTGCTTAACATATGCACCCCAATTTTGGGGGGCTGATTTTGAGGAGAATGGTGCATATTTTATGTCAGACAATATGATAGACTATTTTAGCCCCTTTTTTAAAGTGCTTTTAGTGATTTTATTTTTTCCCCTGAATTGGTTATCACTTTTTTTTAAAATCAAAATTGCAATCAAAATTTTCTCTTTACTGGAAGTCTTCTTTCCTTACTAAAAATGGCTTTTTCAGCACCAGAACTATTTCCATAATGATTTTGATTCAAATGCTGATAACATTCTGATATAAAGCATAGACTGAATGCTGCAAGAAAGAAAGAACAGATTCATTCAGCAGGTGTCAATGATTTTTTTTGCCAAGGGAAAAAATAAAATAAAGGCTACATTGGAATGGAGGCCAATCTTTTTGTGCAAAAACATCCCCCCAAAAAGACTAGCTTTACATTTCCAACTTTATCCTAAATGGTGAACATTTCAAGAAATTCTAAATAAGGGCACTGGATAGAGGAAAAATCCATGAAACCTTAGCTATAGATCAGTGACACTCAACTTTTTTGTCCAGCAGGTCAGATGGTCAGTGCCTGGTCTCTCCATGGACCAGATCCAACTGGTGGCACTGACCAGGGCCAGTGCCCGGGGCAGGCATGGCAGAGTCCCATCCAGCTGAGTGGAGGGAGGGACAGCCCAGCCCAATCCAGCCACACAGGGGAAGGCAGCTTGGCTCATCCCCACCTCAGGGAAGGAGGTATGACACGCCCCACTCCATTGCAGGGGGAGGGGACATGGCCCAACCTTTCAGGAGGAAGGAGGTGTGGCCCAACCCAAACCTGGCTGGAGAAAGGGGGTGTGGCCAAACCCTGTTGGGAGTGGAGCATGGCCCAGCCCCAGAGCAGCTGCACAGGCAGAGGGGGCGTAGTCTGGCCCAAGCCTGGGTAGGTAGGAGGAAAGGGGCATGGCTCAGCCCTGTGGGGGGTAGGAGGGGAGGGGGAGGTGTGGGTCAACCTTGTACTAGCTGTGCAGGGACAGGGAGCATGGCCTAGCCCTGATCTGGCCATGGAGATGCAGGAGTGAGGCCTGGCTCTGACCCACCACTTACAGCTTTGGATTTTGGCAGCGGGGAGTGCTAGCAGTATTAACTGCCACTGTTCTCTGCCACCTTGCCTCCTCATCCATGGAGAGCCAGACAGACCAGATTCCAAGGCTCCACAGGCCATATTTGGATTGCGGCCCAGAGGTTGAGCACCCCTGCTATAGATATCACTAGCACTCTAGCCCACCTCGGACTGAGGTACAGAATTGTTTGTAGGCAGTCTACCAATTCTCCTATGAGCTTCATTTGTTCTTACATTATCTTTCCTGCACTGTACTGGAAGATAATGGCACTGATGGGTTTATTATTCCTTTATCAGAGATTTATTTAAAAATCTGCCTCTGCTTTGGCTAGGTGAAGAACACAGCCCTGCTTATCCAGCATGAATGAGCCTGTTACCTGCTCGTATTTCTCCAGCTCCGTGTGGTAGATCTGTCGGATCTGTGAAAGCTTAGCTCTGTAGTCAGAATGCTCCACGGAGTTGTCTGAACCAGCCCCTCCGGATGCTGCTGCAGCAGCGGCTGCTGCTGCTGAGCCCCCTCCTTTCTCAGGTCCTGCTACCCCCTCCGCCAACAGCATGTTGTCCAACCGCATCAGCTGGGGGTCCGTGGGCTCCTCTTCCTGGGCTCCCCGAATACTCAGGACTGTGAGAAGGGACAAAGACAAAAGAGAATGGTTAGTAATACCCTGTAGATTAACACAAGCAATGGCAACAGCTCTGTCAACAGCACGGTCCAAGACTTCCAGTGGAACTAAGAACAATTAATACCAGCTGAACATCTGGCCCATCAGATCCAATGGAAATATGTTCATTTTAACCAGATGAGGATCCAGGCCACTGGATTAGCCAGTGGGGCTAACCAAATTCACACCAGTTGGCAATTTCCACCAACTCCAATGGAGCTACATGCATTTACAGCAACTTAGGAGCTGACCCCTCACTTGCAAAAATCTCATGCCACCTTGAAGTCACCAGGTCAAATCCAGACCAAACCAGTGGTAACTGAGAGTCACCAGCCCATGACAGCCTCAAGCTGGTGGGGCCTGAATTAGACGCTGTTGTTCCTAGCTGGTCATGTATTGGCCATCTCAGCTGAGTCTGAGGGGCACCGCAGAGAATGACTGCATTTGTTGTCAGCGTCAGACCATGAACTCCATCTCATATGCTCTTTGAGCACCAGCCAGCTGGAGAAAGCAGCCCCTAAAGTATCCTGCTGACTGCAGCCAGTCCATAAATCTCCTTCAACAGAGTACTGCCCACAGCTTAGGGCATCCAGAGCTTAGACTATGGCAGCAAAGGGGAAAGGAGCTGCAAACAATTGTTCTACTGCTGGGTTTTTATATTTTTTTTGCCAGCCCCTGTGGTCCCTGTTTCAGTGGAGAGGAAACTCATGCAAGGCTTGGCAAGATGAGAGTTAAAGCTGCAGCCAGGGCAGATTTAATAAATAAATAACCAGTCCCGCGTGTGTCTGGTCAGCCCTGTGGGCTCTTGCCAGTTCTGGTTGCTTCCGCAGCCTTTGCAGGTCACCCACACGAGGTTGTGACAGGGAAGGTAGATATGAGGCCGATGCAAGAGGACATTTAGCTATTCGGGGCATCGCATTCTCCACATGAACAGCCTGGGCTGCAGACTGTTTACACATGCTCCTCACTTACAAAAGGAAGAATAAGATCAGCTTGGATATTTATTTTCTTTGTTTAAAAGGCAAATAAACATTGGAAATAAAAATAATCAATGAATAATAGAACGTAGCATCTTCCAAGAGCTGAACAGAGATTAGATTATTCATTGTGGAATCATACAATCCATCCATTAATATTAATTCTTAAGTTACATTTTGTTTTTCTTCCCCTAAGGAAACATATTATGGGGCTAAAACCAAGAGAAATTTGAGAGAGATCTTGGAGGGGGGCACCCTCTCCCACCCTCCCGCACCCTCTCCCACAAATTCTATCGGCTGGCTAAAATGCTCTACAGAAATATTGCAGTCCACGTGCTTTTCCCATAAAGCTGATTTCTATACGGCTTTTGCTCTGTGATCCCATCTAACCCCAGAATACTGTTGTATAGTTGCTCTGCTCTTTGTTCTCATTAGAAAAAATAAAATTAAACACAAAACAAGATTCTGCTTTCGGATCTGCAGAATGCGTACTCGAGGTATTAACAGCATCCATATAAATCCCAATAAATAAAAGCCTGCCTTGACTACATGCGGGGGAGTCACAGACATTGTGGGAAAACACATTATTGGGGGAGAATCAGAACAGATCCCAGGCTCTCTTGCTTTTCCTTGCTGATATTGAGTTCAACCATCTTTTACTTTACTACAATTTGCTAAAAAAGAGACCTTTCCGCAAATAAGTCAGGAGGCTGAAAGTCAGGAGACCTGGGCTCAGTCCTTAGCTCTCCCACATACTCTCTTGTGTTCTCACAGGGGTCACATATAGTCCAATCCCAAGCTTAAAACATAAAACTCCCATAGACTTAAACAGTGCAGGATCAAGCCCTGAGACTCCATAAGCTTTGTATGTGTGGACTGAGCTCCTTTTCAGATAGGAGTCTTAAAACTACTTATGCTACAGTGTTCCTGTCTTTACAGAAAGATGGTGAGGGCTTGAAAAGGTTAGCACTAATGTACACAAAGTGCTTGGAGATCCTCTACTGGAAGACAGTAGGAAAATGGGAAATGTTTATATATTATATATATTATTTAGAAGCACCTTATTTGGTCATTCATTCACAACTTAGCTGAACAAAATGAAGCAAGGAAAACAGCAATAAATATATCTTCACAAAAGTGCCTGCCAAAGATCATCTTTTTTAGCATGCTCAGTTTCAATTAGTGCATCAAGTAAAAGTCATTCTCTCTGAGTGTTTTCCTGTTCAAATTAAATCAAAACACACCACCACTCCAGGCTTGCATTGCAAATATGGATGCAAAATGGTAAATATGTTTCAAGGTGCCTGCCTGAAAAAAAATCAAGCTGAAGTGGTTACACTTCCGAAAAAAAATGGGCAGCCTGGCAATTGCAGATGCTGAATCACCTACTTTTAAAACCCATTATATTTAATTTTGTAAACATTCCTTGGAGAGGCACAAGAGAGAAAATGTTGCATATAGACACGGTCTGCATGCATTCAGAGATTTACAGACAGATAGGAAAAGCTCATACACTGAATTGCAATAGAAATTCCATACACACACACAATACAGTATGTATATACATTTTATATATTAATATGTAAATATGGCATAGCTGGGTTACGATCCATTGATTTAAGCAGAGCTGTGCTTGCTTACATCCAAGATGAATTTGACCCATTATCCCCAAACCTGTAATCTGCACTGCCAACCAGCAGCAAATGATTTTACTGTCAGTTTAAAAAAATAATCATAAATTGGCCCTCAATAAAAAATAGTACTAACGCAGTAAAAACAACATGAACTGTATGTTTCCAGAATCCAAAATAAATTTCTGAAAGACACAATTACTTTTAATTTAGAGCAATTTTAAGTAGAAACTCAGTTGAAAAAGGTCATTTATTGCAGGAGTGTAAAACCCTAAATGCTTTAAAATAATGATTTTCTGAATGAGCAATTTTGGGTGAGGGGGCAATATGTACACTTTTACATTTGAAATTGTGTCAGTTAAAATGGTTAGAATATCAAAATTTGATAGCAAATTTGTTAGTAAAGTACAGTAATAATAATTAATACACGATTAAAACATTCACAATAATTCAAATACAAGAGGTTGGTTTAGGATGCCACATTTGGATCCAGATCCTGAGTGCAAAGCTTTGAAAATGATTCAAGAGAGTCAAGATCCAGAATTTTAATATGAACACCCGTCCCTATGTACATCATGCTGTAAATTAGATATGAGGCTTTACAAAAGCAGCAGGAAGGAAAGAAGATTTTCTAAGATAGCCCAACAGTACAGTCCTAAAGCAGAGAGGTGCCAAGTAAGGAGATTCAGCAAAAATGTGGAGTATCGTCAGTAAATGCATGTTGACTGGGGACTGGCTGCCCCGGATGCTAAGCAAGAAACAAGACAAATGTAAATGCTTAAAAGAAAGGAGCCGGATACGGGATAGCGATGGAGGCGACGTGAACAGGAGAGAATAATGTCCCATTCTTTTCAAAAAAGCCTCCAATTACAAACTGAAAAAACAAAGGTAAAAGCAAAGGCAAATGGGTTTGTCAAGACAGGCACAATCATAGTCAGGATTTAAAAGGGAAATATTTTTAGATTCAAAATCTAAAGAATTATTGCCTAGACAGGTGGGCACGTGTGATTAATTAGTCTGTGTTTGTAAAGCCTTTCAAGGGGGAAAGCATCATGTAACTGCTGAGTGTTATTACTGTACAATACAAATTATACACACGCACTCATATATATATTGCACACGCTGAAGTGTTATATACATGCAGGTACCTATATGTGTGCTTACAGTTGCTATTATTACATTATCATTCTATACATTTAGTGAGTAGAGTTCAAAATTCAGTTGGCTGAGACGGCGCTGGGATCTGCAGAGACGATGTCTCTTTGGCCAGCCGGTTAGAATAACACTATTAAATAAGTAAATGAAAAGGCCAATGTGTCTAAGCAGAAGTGATGCCGCCTATTTATCGCTTGAAGTCTGCACTCTGGCGAGTAGAAGACAAAATGATTATTTAAAAGCTCCTTTTTTATCTTCCCAGCACCATACAAGACTCAAATGAACCTTCCGCCAGGACACCAGAGATGTTAACACTCCTCTTCTACGATCCAATTTCAAACGGCAGAGCTGTTACCTAATACAGCAACCATCACATATGATCAGGCCCCCGCTGCACTGATTCACCCTGCTACCTCCCTCCTGCTCAGCTTGAAATGGGTTTAAAGGGACAAGGGACCTGTTCCTGTTCAGTGTCCTTGGGAAGAAGAAACCCTGCCAGGGCATTGAAGCATTGGGATTTTCACAGCTGGCGGGAGGCGGGGGGGCAGAGGAGTCATCAAGAAGGAATTTGGAAATATGTGAGGGAATGGGGTAGGAAAGGTGCAAGTTCATTTTCTAAGGTGGGTGGTGTTGTTCATTTGTTTGCTTTTTATACTCAGTGTCAGTTCCTCAGCTGCTGTGAATTCGTGTAAAGGTAACAGAGTAACGCTGATTTACATCCACTGAGGATCTGGCCCACGACATCTGCACTAATGCAGCAATTTACATAAAAGGCACTTCAGTGAACTTCTGGATAGTTCATTTGTTTAAGACAAAGGGCTCTCACCTGAGATGCTTTTAATGCTAGTGGGGTTATTTTTCCATCAGAAGCAAGACCATGTTTTTTTGTTGTTTTTTTTTTTTTTTTTTTTT